GATAATTTTCGGGGTTCATAAGTATATGACCCCATTCCTTGCAAAGCATTGACACATTCCACAAATCCTTCCTTCTCATCATCATCATGATTGAGCAACACAGCTTCTAAGGTATCCTTAACATTCATCACAGCACTAGCATCATCAACAATTACTTCAGTCACTAAATCCACAAATGAACAAACTTCGTTGCTATTTGGTTGCCTTATCGATTTGCACACATGGAAAACCACCTTTTCGTCACCCACCCGAAAAGTGATCTCACCGGATTCCATATCAATAGGAGCCTTCCTCATAGCAAGGAAAGGTCTACCCAAGATAATAGGCACCTCGTAGTCAACCTCACAATCATGGATCACAAAGTCCATTGGAAGGATGAACTTATCAACACGGACTAACACATCATCAATAATTCTCAATGGCCTCTTCATAGTCCGATCCGCCATTTGCAACCTCATAGATGTGGGTCTTGGTTGCCCAATTCCCAAAGTTTTGAATACAGAGTAGGGCATCAAGTTGATACTTGCCCCTAAATCACATAGCACTCACTTGATGTGTCATCTTGATAGTTTCACAATTCATCGACCTCTTTTTGGTGACCAAGTCCTTCATGAACTTTGTGTAACCCAACATTTGTTCCAACGCCTCAACCAATGGTACATTGATAGACAAATTCTTCATCATGTCAATAAACTTTTTGATTTGGTTCTCATTATTTTGCTTTGGAAGCCTTTGAGGGTATGGAGGAGGAGGCCTTGGCATTGGTGCCTTAGCCTTTGGCACTACCGGTTCCGGTATGTCAACCATGTGCTCCCTAGACGGGTTTACCTCTTCTTGCGTCTCCTCCACATTTTCATCAATATCAATTCTCACTTCGTCATTAGCTTGAACCACATTGCTTGAAATTTCATCTTCATGAACTACAACATCATCATCCACAATTCTTCTTTGATTTGAGGTGGTTGCATCTCTACCTTTTCCACTTCTCGTAGTCACGGCCATAGCATGTTCCGTATTATTCCCCCCTTTGGGTTCACCTATCACGACCCCAAATTCCCTCCGTAGGATGTCATGATGGCACCTAGTCTCTAAGACTAGGTAAGCATATCAATGCGGAATAAAAATAGAAATCTGAAACTTTACATAATTACAACTCCCAAAACCTTGTAGAAATAAGTTACAAGCTTCTAAGAATTTTATCCTCAATGTCTCTATATATCAAGGTCTAAAGAAAAATAAGGAAGCAATATAATAATGATAGAAGGGGACTCCGGAGTCTGCAGACGCTGACAGATATACCTCGAAGTCTCCGTGCACAGGCAACTCACTGAAAACGGGGCTGGTAAAGAGTACCTGGATCTGCACAAAAAGATGTGCAGAAGCGTAGTATGAGTACACCACAGCGGTACCCAGTAAGTGCTAAGCCTAGCCTCGGTAGAGTAGTGACGAGGTCAGGTCAGGCCCTACTGAAAAATAATAATTTCATGGTAAATTGTTTAACAATATAATAAAATAAAATGACAATAAAAATGAATCAAGTAGCATGTCACCATTTAATTACACAAAATAATGGCAAATAATATCTCGTGGAATCAAAACAAATTTCCTTTCAACTTTATGAAAATCACAACAAATAATCAAAGGCAACTATGGCCATAAATCAATATCAACAAGGGCACTCATGAGGTATCACCTCGTAGTCCCAAATCATAAATAAATTCACAATATCTCATTTTCTTATCTCACTGCGGGAGTGTAAGGACCCGTAAAAAAATAATTAAACCAAAAACTCGGGGTTTCGTGGTGCTAAGATTGATTCCAGCGTTATTATAAGTAGAAATTCTTTGCGGCGAGCTTGCGAGCCGCGGTTCGGACTTCTTGGATTGAACAGTAACCTACGGCCTTAGAGGAAAATATTTCATAGAAGAACGCGTTTGTGCGGCCCATTATGCGGCCGCATAATCACTCTGCGGACCACATAATGGTCGCAAAGTAAAGCAGTACGTTGGCCAAATTGAGGTTAGCTTTGCGGTCGATTATGCGACCGCATAACCACTATGCGGACCGCATATCAGTCGCATAATCCCTCTTGGGGTTTTGCGGAAGGGATTTTTGCGGTGCATTATACGACCGTAGAACAAGTATGCGGACCGCATACTGGTCTCATACCTGAGCCGAAAGTTCAGGCCCCTGAGGGCCATTTCTGCGGTCACTTTGCGGACCGCACAGATCTGTGTCGGGGATCCTAATTTCTATTTTTCTTTTACCCGACCCTGTGTCGATATTACATATTCCATAGTCTATTTTGAGCTCATTTTCTGATACTATAGAGTGAGAAAGGAAGCCTTAGAGTGAGAAAGTAATCCTCATCAATTATTCTTCAATTCTTGCTTGAAACTTTGAAGATTATCAAGGAAAGCAACCTAGGCATCCATCCTAGAGGTAAGAATCTATACCCTAGCCCTAAATTTTGAAACTTATACTGAAAATGAGTAATTGATAAGATGGTCCATGGGTGTGAGGGTTGTTTATCTTGCATGCATGTGTGATAAAAGAGTGTGGAAAAGTGAACTAGAACCATGAACGTTTTCCTAATTTTGGGTTCAATTTGTATATTGCTAAAATAGATTGAGGTTGCTAAGGGTTCCGGATAATTGTAGAGTCTAAAGAAGCGCAATTGAGGTATGTATGGCTAACTCTCTTCTTCCTAGAATCGAACTCCTGGTGTCCGAATAATTGGTGTAAGTTCCGACTTGATCTTACTAGAATTGTTTGCCTTAGTGTGTTGGGTTAAAAGATTCATGTTCCCTAATTGCTTTAAATGTTTACCATGTCATCATGCTATTTGAGAACGTAACTATGATTTTCTAAGCTCATTCCTTTATGTGCGCAATGCCTTATGTGATGGTACTTATCGACATGAATGATGACGTTATTTGAACGAATAAAAAGAGAAAGACTTGAATTGTAAAATGTGCCCAAGTGCCAAGAACTACTTAATAAATGAGGTTGTTTGTGCCATGTAACGAAAGATGGGAAAGAGATGGGAATTGAGTGAGCAATTGAAAGAGGTTATGTCTCAAGTGAGATGGCTTAGCCGATCGGGCCGAGATCGGACGCCATGCTGTATACATGGTGGCATTTGTGTTGAAATTATTGATTTACATTGTGGATATGGATATGTCTCACTTGAGATGGCTTAGCCCTTCGGGCCGAGACTGGACACCATGTAAAAATACGGTGGCATTGTAAGTTGTGGCTTTGGCACTAAAGATTATTAACCTAAAAGAATGGAAAGATTGAATTGGAAACTATGTGATCCTTACTTGGTGATTCTTTGTATTTCTGTGAAGTACTTATTGATTATTATGACTGCCTTCTCGTTGTTTCACTGTTCATTCTACTAAGATTGGTGTTTGCCTTACATACTAGTACTATTCGACAGTACTAACGTCCCTTTTGCCGGGGGCGTTACATCTTTGAATTGATGTAGGTGGTTCCATCGCAGATAGTGGTGCTCTCTTTCTCTCCTCACAGTGGTCTTGGTGAGCCCCATTTCTCCCAGGGGTCATGTAGTCCTTCTTTTGTATTAAGTTTTCATATTTTGAGGTATAGCCGGGGCTTTGTTGCCTGCATTGTCATGTTACTCTTTTGTACCCTTAGAGGCTCCGTAGGTGTTTATGTGGGTCATGTATGTATGTTGGGGTGGTCGTTGGATCGAGTTGTATTTTGGAAACTCAACTATGGCATAATGTACGTATATACAGAAAAATAAACTAGCAACCTTTATATATTTATATAACTGATCTCTCCCCCTGTTTTACAAGTGGTGATGCGTTCCCTTTTTGGAATATGAATGAGTTAGGTAGGAAAGTTTCAATAGGCTTGCTCGACCGGGTTCATTCGGTTGAGCGTCGGTCGCGCTCCCCGAGGTTGGGGCGTGAAACACTTGGTATTAGAGCCTAAGGTTTTAAAGTGTCCTAGGATGTCTCGGAGCCGTATCTAGTAGAGCCCTTCTTATCGGTGTGTTGTCGACCACATCTATAATTAGGGGGATACTTAGACATTTAAGAATGATACCCTTCATTGTTGTTCTATATCGTGCGATTGAGCAGAATGTGAGGTTGTTTTCCCCTAACTCGTGCATTGTTCTAAACTTTCAGTAAATGGCACCTAAGAAGAGAGCGAGAATTGGACAAGAAGCCAATGCCACCCCAGGAGTGGTTGCTGATCCCTTACTTGATAATGCGGGTGAGGATAATCCCCCTACTATCACACTGCCTGATTCGTCTACTCCAGAACAGACTACCCCAATTCCTACACCCGCGGAGGGTGCCACAATCCCTCCCGCCGATATACATGTTCCACCTCTAGCCCCAGCTCCCGGTCCCGGTATTTCTGATGGAGATCTTAGAGGAGCTATTCAGATGCTGACTTAGTTAGTAGCTTCCTAGGCTCATAGGTCAAATGTTGCACCCACCTGATTTATCTTACAAGGAGATTCTTCCGGTTCCAGGGTAAACATGTTCCTTCAGTTAGACCCTCCGGTGTTCACAGGTACTGATCTTGGGGCAGACCCTCAGGATTTCATTGATGAGATGTATAAGACTCTCCGAGTTATGCGTGCTACGGAGACAGAGGGAGTAGAGTTGGCCTCCTATCGTCTGAAAGGGGTGGCATATTCCTGGTTTGAGATGTGGGAGGATTCCCGTGAGGAGGGGAGCCCTCCGGCAGGATGGAGTGAGTTTGCAGATGCCTTCATAGATCATTTCTTGCCTGTCGAGACTAAGGCAGCCCGTGCTATGAAGTTTGAGACCCTTAAACAGGGTAGTAAAAGTATGTGGGAATATCACATGGAGTTCGTGCGCCTGTCAAAGTATGTTGTTCACATGATGCCGACTATGGAGGCTAGGGTGCATTGATTTGTGCAGGGCCTTAGCTCTTTGGTTATTAATGAGGCGGTCACAGCTGCTCTAAATTCTGACATGAACTATGGAAAGATGGTGGCATTTGCCCAAGATACGGAGGCTCGAAAGTTAAAGTTCAGGATGGAACGGGAAAGTAGTAGTAGGGCCCGATCAGCGGGCAACCTTGGGGATTTATTCGGAGGTGGGAGATCATCTTTTCGGGGAGGATCATCAGGGTCGTCCTAGGCTTATGATCAGTCTTTAGCTAGTGCCCCGCCATCAGGGCACGGTCAGCAGCAGGGGAGTCATTTTAGGCCCGGTTAGGGCAACAGGGGGTCCCACCATCAGTGTCGACCATGATGGAGATTCTAGCAGCAGCAGAGGGCCCCATGCCATAAGTGTGGGAGGATACATTCGGGAGTCTGCTACCTGGACATGCAAGTATGTTATAGATGCAGAATGAGAGGCCATATTCAGAGGGAGTATCGTGCATCCCGTCAGGGTGCAGGTAGGGGCACAACTCAGTCATCCAGTCCTACAACTGCTACATCTTCAACACCCCCTCCAGCTCGAGGCTCTCCAGCACCCACATGGCGTGGTACAGCTAGGGGTGGTGCACAGAGTTCGGGAGGACCCAATCGATTTTATGCTATGAGCGGTCGATAGAGTGCAGAGGCTTCCCCAGATGTCATCACATGTATATTGACTGTTCAATCTCATGACGTGTATGCCCTTATTGATCCCAAATCTTCTTTGTCCTATGTTATTCCTTATGTTGCTACGAGCTTCGGGATAGAACCGGAACAGCTTCATGAGCCGTTCTCTGTATTTACTCCGGTTGGCGAGTCTATTATGGCCGCACGGGTTTATAGGGATTGCGTGGTCACGGTGCGTGGTCGGGATACCATGGCCGATCTTATTGAACTAGGGATGATTGATTTTGACGTAATAATGGGAATGGATTTGCTTTATTCATGTTTTGCCAAACTCGATTGCCGAGCCAGAATCATGAGGCTTGAGTTCCCTAACGAGCCAACTATTGAGTGGGAGGGGAAAATTGTTATGCAAAAAGGTAGGTTTATTTCTTACCTTAAGGCCCAAAGATGATCAGGAAGTGGTATATTTATCATTTGGTCCGAGTTACGGAAACCACTGCTGAGGTGCCTACCCTTGAATCTGTACTAATTGTGAATGAATTCCCCGATGTATTTCTGGATGAGCTCCCTGGAATTCCCCCAGACATGGAGATTGATTTTGGGATTGATGTGATGCCAGGCACGCAGCCTATATCCATTCCACCTTATAGAATGACACCAGCATAATTAAAAGAGCTAAATGAACAACTAAGGGATTTGCTAGAGAAGGGTTTCATCCGACCGAGTGTGTCACCTTGGGCGCACCGGTTCTCTTTGTCAGAAAGAAAGATGGATCGCTGCGGATGTGTATTGATTACCGGCAACTCAACAAAGTCACAATCAAAAACAAATACCCATTGCCTAGAATAGATGATTTCCTTGATCAATTACAAGGTGCTAAGTTCTTCTCCAAAATTGATTTGCGGTCCGGGTACTATCAATTGAAGGTAAGGGAGCAGGATATTCCGAAAACAGCTTTTAGAATCCGGTATGGGCACTTTGAATTTTTGGTAATGTCTTTCGGGCAAACAAATGCCCGGGCAGCTTTCATGGATCTTATGAATCAAGTCTTCAAGCCGTTCCTCGACTCCTTTGCGATAGTATTCATTATCCACATCCTTGAGTATTCATGAAGTCGAGAGGATCATGCCGACCACCTTAGGGCAGTTCTGCAAACTCTTCATCAATACCAATTGTATGCAAAGTTCTCGAAATCTGAATTTTGGCTTGAATCTGTTACATTCCTGGGTCATGTCGTCTCCGGAGAAGGAATTAAGGTTGATCCTCAAAAGATTGCAGTGGTGAAGGATTGGCCTAGATCTACTACTCCAACAGAGATTCACAGTTTCTTGGGTTTGGCTGGGTATTATAGGAGGTTCGTGGAGGGGTTCTCCACTCTTGCCTCTCCATTGACTAAATTGACGCAGAAGACGGTTAAGTTCCAGTGGTCCGATGCTTGTTCAAGAAGCTTCTAGGAATTGAAATCAAGATTGACTTCGGCACAGGTATTGACCTTGTCAGAGGGTACTGAGGGGTTTGTGGTATATTGCGACGCTTCAAGGATTGGTCTTGGGTGTGTAATAATACAACATGATAAGGTCATAACATATGCTTCAAGGCAACTTAAGAATCATGAAAAGAACTATCCAACTCATGACCTAGAGCTTGCGGCGGTGGTTTTTGCATTAAAACTTTGGCGTCATTATTTGTATGGAGCCCATGTAGATGTATTCACGGACCACAAAAGTCTTCAATACATTTTTAAGCAGAAGGAATTGAACTTACGGAAGAGGAGGTGGCTTGAGTTTCTCAAAGATTATGACATCATTATTTTGTATCATCTGGGGAAGACTAATGTGGTGGCAGATGCTCTTAGTCGGAAATCTATGGGTAGTTTGGCTCACTTGGAGGCGTGTCAAAGGCCCTTGGCCCGGGAGGTTCACCAGTTGGCCAGTTTGGGAGTTCATCTTGCGGACTCTAATGAAGGGGGAGTGATTGTGCGGAATAGAGCAGAATCATCGCTTGTGACGGAGGTCAAGGAGAAGCAATACAATGATCCAGTGTTGGTGCAGCTGAAGGAAGGGATTCATAAATACAAGACTATGGCTTTTTTATCTTGGCATGGATGACGGTACATTACGGTACCAAGGACGACTATGTGTTACAAACGTAGATGGTCTTCGAGAAAGGATCATGGTAGAAGCTCATATTTCTAGATATTCTGTGCACCCAGGTTCTACAAAACTATATCATGATCTCAAGAAAGTTTACTGGTGGAATGACATGAAGAGGGTTGTGGCGGACTTTGTGGCAAAATGTTCAAACTGTCAACAAGTGAAGGCAGAGCATCAAAGGCCCAGTGGGTTAGCACAAAGTATAGAAATTCCAATGTGGAAATGGGAAATGATCAATATGGATTTTGTGGTAGGGTTACCGCGCACTCCGCGGAAGTTTGACTCAATTTGGGTGATCGTGGATCGACTCACGAAATCAGCTAACTTTTTACCGGTTAAATCCACCGACACTGCAGAACAGTATGCTCAATTGTATATCAAGGAGATAGTCAGGCTTCACGGCACTCCAATTTCCATCATTTCCGATCGAGGGACCCAGTTCACAATTAATTTCTGGAAGAAATTTCAGCAAGGTTTGGGTACGCAGGTAAATCTTAGCATGACTTTCCATCCACAGACTGACGGGCAAGCAGAGCGGACTATTCAGACACTTGAGGACATGTTACGTACTTGTGTGCTCGACTTGAAGGGTAGCTGGGATGATCATTTGCTGCTAATAGAATTTGCTTATAACAACAACTTCCATGCAAGTATTCAGATGGCGTCGTATGAGGCCTTGTATGGTAGAAGATGTAGATCACCGATTGGGTGGTTCGAGGTTAGAGAAGCTGAACTAATAGGACCAGAACTTGTGCATCAGGCTATGGAAAAGGTTAAGATCATAAAAGAGCGGTTGAAAACTGCTCAGAGTCGTCAAAAATCCTACTTGGATGTTCGTCGCAGAGACTTAGAGTTCAAGGAAGATGATTGGGTGTTCTTGAAGGTATCTCCCATAAAGGGGATCATGCGATTTGGAAAGAAAGGAAAATTAAGTCCGAGGTATGTCGGGCCGTATAAAATCACTCAAAGGATAGGTCAGGTGGCGTACAAGCTTGATCTACCACCTGAGATGTCATTAGTGCACCCGGTATTCCATGTGTCCATGTTGAAGAAGGTAGTTGGAAATCTGTCCGCTATCGTGCCGGTTGAGACCATCGAGGTTTGTGAAGAATTGTCGTATGAAGAGAATCCGGTTGCTATCCTTGATAGACAATTCCGGAAGTTGAGAAACAAAGAAATTGCATCCGTAAAGGTATTATGGCGAAGCCAACAAGTCGAAGAAGCTACTTAGGAAGCCGAGGATGAAATGAAAAATAAGTACCCTCATTTATTTGAATAGCCATGTAATAGCTCTATAAAGTTGTCCCCCCTAAATTTTGTATCACTTGGCCGGCTAATATAAAGACACTCATTTCTAATTATATGTCCCCTAAGAGGCTTCAGTTGGTGTTATTTTGCATTCTGTTGTGTCATTTCATCTTATATATATGTTTGATAGATTGGAATGGTCTTTATCAGGGATACACTGGTATCCTTCGGTTTCCCTGATAACATTACTAAGTTGATTCTCTATTGTATAACCTATAGTTCTATTTCTATCTTGGTTAATGGGGGTAAGACTGACTTCTTCCACCCTAGTAGGGGCATCAGGAAAAGAGACCCTATGTCTCCCTATATCTTCATCATGTTCATGGAAAGGCTCTCCAAAAGCATTGAGGCCCAAGTGCAGACTGGTAACTGGTTCCCCATAAAATCAGCCACACAGGTCCCAAAATCTCCCATCTATTCTTTGCTGATGATCTGACTATATTTACTAGAGCTAATACAAATAACTGTACCACCATAATGGAGACACTTCAGGAGTTTACTTGTAAATTAGACCAGAGGGTTAACACCCTCAAGTCCAAAGTTGTTTTCTCCTCAAACTACCATAATAGATAGATTGGCCAAGAGCATGGCTATCAAGGCTAGCAAATCCTTTGGTAAGTACCTATACTTCCCTATTTTTCACAAGAGGCCTATCAATAGGGATTTCCAATTTATCATTGATAGTATGCAGATCAAGCTAGCAGGCTGGAAAAACCACTTCCTGAACATGGCTGGGAGAACCACTCTAGCTAAGTTCTCACTAGGGTGCCTCCCTAGCCATGTTATGCGGTACATAAAGTTATCAGCTCAGGTGTACAACTACATTAATAGGATCCAGAGAAATTTTATCTGGGGTACCACTGCTGTTAAGAGAAAAATGCACCTAGTGGGGTGGGGAACAGTTACTAAACCTAGAGAGAAATGAGGCCTGGGTGTCCATACAACTGAGCTTAGGAACACTGCCACTCACGCATGCCTTGCATAGAGAATGTATAATAACCAAATGCTCTGTGGGCTAGAGTATTATTTCATATGCACTTTACTAGTAGGCACCCCACTAGACACATAGCCTTTAGGACTTGGCAGAGTGTAAGGAATGGGTGGACTGTGTGCAGTAAATAGATGGAATAGGGGAGATAGATTCAACCTCTATAATAATAGATGGATCCCAAACATGGAGCCTCTTAACCCTAGTCAGTGGACCCCTGAACATGGGTGATGAGAACCTAAGGGTGTCCTCATGTTTCTCAAATGGCCAATGAAACCTCAACAATCTGTCCTTTAGCTTCCCCGACAGTGTAATGACCACCATCAACTCTACCATCATCAATGCCAACTTAGGCAAAACAGAAAATATGATCTGGAGTTAGACTTGGAATGGGTTGTTCTCAACTAAATCTGCCTACACCTTAATTGTAGGCCAAAATCAATAGTAGGGGCACAACCTAGGGGATACTTCAACTGGATATAGACACAAAAACTTCCTAATAAAATCAAATACTTTCTATGGCTTGTGATCTATGGTAGACTCCCTACTAGTCAATATCTT